TATATATAAAGCATATATGCATATGTATATATATATATATATATATATATATATATATATATATATATATATATATATATATATATATATATGTATATATATATATATGTATATATATATATATATATATATATATATATATATATATATATATATATATATATATACATATATATATAAATATATACACATATATATATATATATATGAATATATATATATATATATATATATATATATATATATATATATATATATATACATATATATATAAATATATACACATATATATATATATATGAATATATATATATATATATATATATATACATATATATATGTGTATTTATATATATAAATGTATGTATGTATTGTTCCTTATTATATGTTATTTTATAATTCCAATTTAATCCTTTTTTCACAATTAACCATCCTTTTCTTACCACGCCCGTCACTGACTTCGACCTCGACCTCACCTCTCACCCCTATCAAAAAAAAAAAAAAAAAAAAATCACCCCCTCCTCAAAAAAAAAAAAAAAAAAAAACCCTGGCCGCGCAGATCCCGACGAGCCAGCCGACGCGCCTGTTCTCCTTCATGAACCCTCTGGCGGTGGAGATCTGGCTGTACGTCCTGGCTGCCTACGTCCTCGTCTCCTTCACCATGTTCGTGATGGCGAGGTTCTCCCCCTACGAGTGGAACAACCCTCACCCTTGTAACACAGAGAACGACGTGGTGGAGAATCAGTTTAGCCTAAATAACTCTTTTTGGTTTATTACGGGCACGCTCCTGCGACAAGGGTCTGGCCTTAACCCGAAGGTAAACAGCAGGGATCATGAGGAGAAAGAAAGAATTTTTTTTTTTTGGTTTTGGCTTTCTTCTTATTTTTTTTTTATTCTTTCTTTCTTGGCTTTTCTTTTCTTTTTCTGGCTTTTCTATTTCTTCTTCTTGTTCTTGTTCTTTGTCTGTTCTTTTCTTCTCGTTCTTCTTCTCTCCGGTTTGGGAAGATGGAAAAGGAGAGGAAGTTTCCGATTTTGCTTTTTTTCCTCTTCCTTCTTTTCCTTTTCCTCCGTCTTCTCTGTAAGGAAGGAGAAGAAAGAATTGCGATGGCGGAGATTAAGAAGTCGTGGCATAAAGTTAAATCATAATTACAAGTTATTTTATGACTTAATTAAAAACAAAAATCGTTTCATTAATCGAAAAGGCCACGTACCTAGTCCCGCCAACGGAAAAAAAAATCACTATGACTAATTATTAATATATATTTTTTTTACAGCAGAGTCCTCATTGTAGCAGACGTCTTGTATTTTTCTTGTCTTTCTTGTCTCTACCTTTTCTTCTGTATTATTTCCGTACTTGCTTCGTATTTTGTTTTCCTCCTGCTCCTCTTCCGTCTCCTCTGTTCCCTCGAGTCCCCCCCCCCCTCAAAAAAAGGGGAAAAAAATAGGGGCTATAGAAGTACTTTGGTGGGGGGGGGACGTAAAAAAAAAAAAAAAAAAAAAAAAACGGTAAAAAATAAAAATCTTCGCATCCGCATAGACTCACACTCCATCTCTCTTTCCCCCCCCCCTTTTCTTCCCCCCGCCCACGCCCTTTTCCCACCCCCAAGGTGCCACAGCGGGCGCCCCATCGTCTCTTTAGCTTCATGAATCCTCTAGCTATTGAAATCTGGCTCTACATCCTCGCTGCCTATGTGGTTGTGTCCCTCACCATCTACATCGTAGCTCGCTTCTCCCCCTACGAGTGGCAGAACCCTCACCCTTGCTACGACAATCATGAGGTTGTGGAAAATGACTTCACTCTCGGAAACTCCTTCTGGTTCACAATAGGCACGCTGATGCAACAGGGCTCTGATCTTAACCCGAAGGTACCGTTGTCAAGAGACCGATAGCCTTTGTCTTCCTTGATTTATCCTTTTCTTTTTATCCTGTTCCTCTTTTTTTATCCCTTTCCCTCTCTCTCTTTCCCTTTTTCCTTTTCCCTCGGATGTTTGTGTGTGTGGATTCTTGTTACCTCGTCTCTTCCTTCTTCCTTTCGTTCTTTTATCCTATTCTGTCTTTCTTACCTTCGGTCCTTTGTATTTTTTCCCCCTTGTCTTCCTTCCCCCGTTCCTTGTTTCCTCTCTCGTTGGCTATTTTATCCTCCTTCTACTCTCTCTCCCTCTCTTCTTCTACCGTTCCTTCTTCCCCTACCTTCCTTCCTCCTTTCTTATATTCTTCACCTACTCCTTCTCTCTCCCTTTAACCTTCCTCCTCCTCTTCTTCCTACCCCACCTCCTACCCTCTTCCTCCTTTCCTTCTTTTCTTCCTCACCTACTCCTCCTCCTCCTCCTCCCTCCCCTACCCTCCTTCTCCTTCACCCAAGCGAGGTCATTAACTGGCGGGGAAGGAAGCGAGGTCACGCGGGGTCATTGGGTCTTATCCTGTCTGCCTCAATGACTCCCTTATGAAACCTCTTTCTCTCTCTCTCTCTCTCTCTCTCTCTCTCTCTCTCTCTCTCTCT